TGCACTCTGGTTCGGAAAAACGTACGGATTAATGCCCGAGTCCTTGAGGTTCCGGGATAAAACCGGACAGAGCCATGACATAAATTTAAGAGAAATTCCAGCAGGTAACGAAACTTCAAAAAACCAGTATACTGCAATAGAGTAATTCACGAGAGCAAAAGATGACTCTCCTCTTATCACTTTCTTGGCGGATGGTCCTGACAAAGAAAACATGCCGATTAGTGGTGCAGTTCCTGAAATTCAAAACAAAGACCATTCGAGGCGAGGAGACAGTTCCAAAGGTAGGGAGACCTTTCCAATAATAATTATTTTCAAACAGGGTGCCTTCTGAGTCACAAAAGTGGTTTCAGAACAGTCCTGCTTTCTGAGTTTAATAATAATGATAATAATAGTAATGATACTAATAATAATAACAACAACAACTTGATAGTTACGCGTCGTTTCAAAAATGTAATGTGTTATCAAAATTGCTATTTCCCTTCAGAGAAGAAAATGCATGCCTATGAGAAGTTGCCTGAAGCCGAAAAGGAGAAAATTAGGGGAATACTTTTTATAATGGACAAGTATTCCATTTCATGGGAGGCTTACCATGAACTGTCTCAGCAGGACCAGACACTGCCTAGATCCTACTTAGTACAGGGATGTCAAGGCACCATAGACTCTAGTTGGGACATAAGAAAAGCTTCAGGGGACCAACCAGGAACTGAGTTAGCTCTGGAGGATCTACTCAAGCAACAACTTGAAGAATATGTAAGTGAAACAAGTTAAGTAATTTAATTGAGCTTGTGGTTGCACAGTGTGTTAGCTTGTGGGAGCCACATCAAATAAACAATCAGCGATAAAATCCAAAGGAAATCATTTCACACTTTTAGCACAGCTAAATTTTTTATCTGTTACATTTTTCTTCAGCTGAGGAAGTCCAACCAACCAGAAGACCAAAGCCCAAAATAAAAGTAAAATTATCTGGTGATGGTGCAAGAATGTCTCATTCCAGTAATTTATTTGTGTGCTCATTTTCTATCCTGGGTGGAGGTCAAAATGTACTCTCTAGTGCAGGTACATACATGCATTTATTTATAAATAGCAGAGCATCCTTTTTGAAAATTGAGATTCCTAATGGATAAAAGTACAGTGTACTTAAGCTAATAGTTTTTTTCTATACAACTCATGCCTAGTTGCCAATGTTGTTCAATTCTAATGAAAATGTTGAAAAATACTTAGTATGAAGTCAAACCTTTTAACCAACTTGGCTTACACTTATTGTGTTTTTACAGGCAACCACACTATTACTGTTATAAAAACCTCTGAAGGCTACAAAAACCTAAGAAGTGGTCTGGCAAATGTGACATCAACTGTCAATAAACTTATCGAGGATGGATTTATTGTAATTAATGGAAAGAGAGTAAAACTGCAGTTCTTCTTAGGGGGTGATTACAAAGTAAGTACAATGTATATGACTTGATAATAACATAAAAAACTGAAACACAGGACTGTGTACTGTGTACTGAATGACATTGAGCTTGAAAGTTTATTAATTGTATTATTATTATCACTCCAACAGTTTCTGCTTCTTTCAATGGGAATGAAGGGGGCCATTTCCAACAATTCATGCATCTGGTGCTTGATCCATAAAAAAGACAGGTACTATTCAAAATGATCTTATCTCTTGATAATTAACTGATGGCTTAGCCTTATTTTTTAATAGTTGAGGTTTCAACTTGTGTTGTAAAATTCTGATCTTCCCTAATTATCTAACAAAGTTTTAAGTTTCTGTCTTTTGTTGGTCTTCAACTTTAGATGCAACATGGATGTTCCATTCTCTTATTACCAGTCATCAAACATGAAAAGAGCACTGGGTCCAGACTGGTACAAACAACCTGGATGCCAGCACCAGCCGTTATTTAAGATACCCCTTGACAACATCATCATCGATGAGCTTCACCTTATGCTGCGTGTAATGGATCGACTGGAAACAGGCCTTATCCTGGAAGTTTTAGATTGGGATGAGGTAGAATCATTTATTTATTCTCTTAACAAATTTTGCTTAAGAGCCCAAGTTATCAACAGACTAGAAAGGTTTGAATAGGTTATAATTTAATTGCCCTACCATAATTAAGAGACATATGAACTCACAGTTAGTAACACCACAGCACATGCATTAACAGTCTAAAAAGGTTGTGAACGACTAACCTGCAGCTATGTAAAGAGAAACAAAGATTTCTGGTGTGAAGGAGGTAAACAGGAATCAGCAAAGAAAGTGCCTCGAATTTCAGCTGTGGAGCAACCAAGAGAAGATGTCCTGATATCCGCTGATACCACCGAAGAACCTCAGAAGAAGGCTATTAACCAGTCGATGGATGAGTTAAGGAAGCTGAAAATCAGTGACCTCGTTCAACTCCTTAATGACCTCACAGGACACCAACCTAATCTTCCAAAAAAACCAAGGAAACCTGATCTTATTTCTAAGATAACTGAGATAGCCGATCGAAGGTCAAACTAACTTGCAACCCTGTAAATTTTTTGAAAAAACAAATAATTACTATTGTACAGCAAATATGTTTATAAAACAAGAATTATAGTTGTTTGACCTCAGAATACAGCAAATATGTTTATGAAACAAGAAATTCTTACTTATAAAACAAGAAATTACAATTTTTTTTTATCTCAGAATACCGGAAATGTGTTTATAAAACAAGAAATTTTAGTTGTTTGACCTCAGAATACAGCAAAAAATGTTTACATAGCTTGAAATTTTACTTGTTTGACTTAAGAATACAGCAAATATGTTTATAAAATAATAATTTTAATTTTTTGACCTCAGAATACAGCAAATATTTTACTTATTGTTTGACCTCAGAATACAGCAAATATGTATATAAAACAAGAAATTATATTTGTTTGATCTCAGAATACTGGAAATGTGTTTATAAAACAAGAAATTATAATTATTTGATCTCAGAATACAGCTAATATGTTTATGAAACAAGAAATTACCTCAAGAGCCTTTACTTTTCCCTTACGAAAGGCGATAGGAAGGAAGCCATCTTAGATTAACAATATTGCGCATGAACGTGGCATGATGTAACGCTGCTACATTATATCGCTTTGCTGAGTGTGTTTTTACAGTAAATTTTGCTTATAAGAGCAGCTTTATTTGGAATCAAGAATACTAAGATAAAAGGGATTAATTTCTTACGACCCATGTTGATTATGACTTTAGTTTATTCGGTGGCTTCTAAAGAAGCCGTTTTTGTTGTTGTCTCACTGGCCCACTCAAAGAGTATTTGCCAGGTATTTCTTTCTGAACACCACGCGAAGACGTTCTAATGGTCGGCACAACTTCTTGCTTTCGCTGTAAAACGAAGGCGACTTTGACAGCAACAAGCGGAAAGTCAGCTGTACGATACGGCACCGGTTCCCATTAGCGTTAATTGTGCGTTCCACGTACGTTGCTAGGCCAGCGTCGTTAAGCTGCTGGTCACTAATATCAGTCGGTGCTGACTGGATCTCCACTGGAAGGCTTGGGAAAAGAAAGCGAACCACATCATGGCGAATCTCGACCGATTCTTAGTATTGAAGAGGAACTTTCATCCCTCTTTCAAACACAAGACCAATTCTTTCTCTAGCTTCTTCCACGCGAACTGGATCATGGTCAGGATTTTCAAATACCACGATCAGCTCAGGCGGCAGTGAGTCTCTGGTTCCCAAGTGTTCTGGCTGGAGCAGTATCCCTGCCACTTGATCATGAACAGAGGCTTTCCATGACAGATCTTTTTAGCAACGATCCGTTCAGCATCAAAGACTCCAAGAACTTCAGGCTTTTTATCACACATTCGGGTATGGATAGTTCGGTAGTTTCAAGACTCTTATAATAGCCTTGAGGTGGACGACAGCGTTTCTCCATCTTGTAACAGCAAATCAACCAAATTATTCCTTTTTGAAGGAAACGAGGATACTTATAGTAAACACAATACGACAAAGACATGCCGAAGGATCGAAATGCACAAATCACTGTCGAGCGCAAACAAATTAACGTAACAAAGCAGGACGCGTCATGTAACACAACCCATCGGCGAGCTCGCGCAACAAACTGTTATTTTCTGCGTTTAATCTTCTTTTCCAATAATGTAAACACCAAAGCAAAAATATGAACCCATTTTGTCGATAAGACGTAACACCAAATGGCTTCAAATTGCGCATGCTCTTAACACGACGGAGGCCCCTGCTCCCATACAGATTAGTGAAAATGTACCGGATTTTAAGTTTTTTTTAATAGCAAGCAGTTAACAATGGATGATCCTGAAACAACACCACCACCACCTCCGCCGCCACTAAAGCGACAAGGGCCATGTCGACTGATAATCAGTAGACACTATAGGGAGGCCGCTAGGCATCCCCCATGACCAAACAATGAAAACTTTACCTTCGACTAGCAAAGATAGAAGAATGCAAATAAAGCGCATGAACAGAAGTAAGACAAATTTTTTTGCTACCCCGTGTAGCAGTCTTTTTCTCCCCAGAGGAAAAAGGCGAACTAAAAGCTTGTGAGACGCAAACTAAGAGAACCCGCACGGGAACCAACCAGCCGGCAGAGGGCACGTGAGTTGCTCTCTTTTACTGGCTGCCTCGTGTGTGACTTTTATTTCGTTTCAAAGAAACAAGTGTCAGAGTGACCTACAGACCTCATAACGTCCTTTCTATTTTAGAAAAATTGTGCAGGTAAATTTTTCCAATGAAAATCAAATCCTAAACGGGTAGTGATAGAACCAAAGTGGTTATTGAGTAAGATGAAGAAATATATGGATATGTAACGAAGGTTTCAAAATCGAACGCTCTTCCAGGTTATAACACACGCACGTAATGTGTGATATTCTTCTAACAATAGCATAAACAATAACTTTCTAAGCTATTGTTTCGTAGCTCCGCCTTGACAAGTTAATGAGCTTAGGCATTATTTCCTGAGTAGGAATGAGCGCGTAATCTTTGACCAATCAAAGCTCTCCAGAATATCTTTCGCCGCTAATATTACGGATCTATAATTTTTTCGCTACTGCAAGTAAATGTCCCGAGAACAAGTTATCAATAAATCCGACAATCCAACATGCATTGTTTGTTTGTCTAAGATAATTGTGGAGGCACACAGCAGCCTGTGAAATGGATTGAACAGTTTCAACACTTCCTTGGATAGGTCGGTGAAATATACGCCATCTTGCTGCAAGAATGCCAAATGCATTTTCAATCACTCTTCTTGCACGAGATAGCCGGTGATTGAAAATTCTTCTGACTTCAGGCAGCTCCCCTTCAAAACATGGTCTTTGCATCCGTTGTTTTAGAGCAAGTGCTTCGTCGCCAACTAAGAAATATGGAAAAGGATGATCTCTCCAACCTTTAGGTGCTTCCGTAGTGGGAAGATTCAGTTGCTCAGTTTCCAAAGCTTGTCCCATGGTTGAGTGTGATTGAACACCACTATCGTTATTGCTATCATAATTCCCAACATCCACTTAGGTAAATGAATAGTGAGTATCACATACTGCAAGCAAGAATATACTAAAAAAGCCTTTATAATTGTGGTACAACGAGCCACTCTTTAAGGACGTTGTATTGCCACATGCTTTCTGTCAATAGCCCCACCACAATGTGGGAAATTTCACAACCTTTGAAGTTCGTTTGCAATTTCCTTCCATTCTTTGTCCGAGTTGGGAGGTTTCAAGTATTCCTCATGCAAAACAGTCCAGAGAGCTTCACATGTTTCTCGAATGATCTTTGAAGCTGTTGACCTCCCTATTCTATAGCCAGAAGGGTTAGAATGTTGGCTATTACCATAGGCTAAGTCGTGTAGAGATAAACTTAACCGTTCTGCTGGTCCAATTGCCTTCCTCACTCTGGTGTCTTTTTGGGTAATTACTGGGGCCACCAAGGACAATAAGGAGACATCTTCATATACCTAGGTATAAAGGTTGACCACATTTAAGAATCACATATAGGCAGACAATATAAACTTGAATCAAACACAGAATGGATTAATTTGCTTTTGTGGGGAAGGGAGAGCAGAATTCCCTTTTCCTGTACTTCTCTCTCATGCTCCCAGTCAGCTCTTGGTCTTAATTAAAGAATTTAAGAAATTACCAGTAATATTACTGGTAATAGTCGATCTGTCAACTCAAAATCTAAGCTTATTGCAGGTGGCCATGGCCTTAATGACCTATTCCTGTTATAATATTAAGTCAGTTACGTCCTAAAGTTACCTTTGGACAAAATGTCATTTCAGAAATGGCACTAGTTTTTTTGCAGTTTGTGTAAAAATTGCCTAGCTGGGTGACTTGGTGAAGCCAGAGAATAGAAATTTGATATGAGCTTAACTGTGTTTTAATAAAAAATAATCTGGATCTTAATAAGGTTTCACAATTGTTTTACTTTACAACTGCGAGTTTACTCTCTACTTTACTAATTTAAATCCATCCTTCACCATAAAAATGTGAAAGAAACTTAACTTGATAAGTAAAAAAATCTCAATATCAAACTAGACCATTAGGAACTGTGGAAGCGGGCCAAGTAACAATAAAATATCTCTTTCAAGTGACGTTTTTGCTCAGGATGTTTTTCTTTTCCGTTTATTATCTGCTATGTGCGTTTTAACTTTGTCACAAGTGTCCTTCTCCCATCATTGCTGATGGTCCACCATATACAAGTACTAAATCTTAAACAAAGGTCTTTGTTAAAGCCTCAAGATAGGCAGTCCTTAGCTGTCACCTTCAAAAATAATCTGGAGAGATAAAGTGATATTCTAACATTTCAGTATTTCAGTATCACTACAAACTTTAACACAACTCCTCACTTGACCTACATTAGCAAACATGTGTTTAAAAAATGAAATGGTGTAACATTAATTGGATTTCATTTAGTCAAGGATAAAAGTGACTTTTACGGGACAAATTGATTGCTTACCCTTTGTTACTGAAAAGTTTGTCATTCTTTCCATGCTTATCAGGATTATGAAGCAGTGCGAGAATGCACCCCAAATACATGTATCATCTAGAAATATGTGTTTTGTTCAAAAGAAAGTATTTCAAGAGCTTAGGAATTTCTGTGAGAGAATTATGATCCAAAAAAACAACATGAAAGATGACTAGTTTTTCAATCAATATCTAACGTTATCGATCAAAATCAGGTAACTGTCTGTTACTTTACAAAGAAAGTTTGGAACAGCTGGGTTACACAGTAGTGTACATTTTCTTTCCCTTAAACATTGCTCTCATAGAACTTTCAAATTCAGGGTAGCTAAGAAATAACTGTTCATAGCAGTTACTTTGAAAAACTAACAAGAATAATTTTGAAGTAGATTGTGAGTTGGTTTTGCTACAGCTGTGTAGTTGTCATAGCAATCTTTTTCAGCATAACGTGCTAACCTGAAACACATGTACTGAACTTAAAACTGATTTTTAATTTTAACTTTAAGTTTATGAAAACACTGTTCGTAGCAGTTACTTTGAAAACTAATGA